AAAAAAATTATAATTTTTTAAAATATTAATTTTAAAATTTAAACTTTAAACTTAAACTTGAGTTATACAATTATACTTATTTACTAGTTGATCCATATTTTATTATTAAGGCACTGTCGTTTTGCAACTGCTGGGGACAACTGCCCAACAGCTAATTAATAGATTCCGCGTAGGATTTCCATTAATTTGGTTGCCTGCTGTCTTTATTTTTTTGGGTGTCAAGATAAATGGTCCAGTCTTGAACGAATTGGCCATTTGTTAAAGCTTGGCTTTCCGCGGCTGATTTTTCATTTAGTCAGATTTAAAACTGCTTGGATTTTGTTGGAACACATTTTGTACTTATTATGAGGTTGAGTATTCTTTGTATTTGAATTTTAATAAATTTGTTGCTCAAAAAAAAAAACCAAGGAAGATGGTCCAGTTTTAACTCTGTTTTATAACTCAAGGAATATATCATATAAAATTACTTTATTTGTTCAATTTTAAGTTGACTTACTTTTTTTTAATAAAATAAAAATATAATAATTAATTGATAAAATTTAATTTATTTTTAATTAATTATTATTTAAATAAAATTTTCATTTTAATATATGTTATAATTATTTTTTAAAATAAAGTTAAAATATTGATTAGTATATTAAATGACATTTTAAATATGAAAAGTGAAGAACTATAATAATTTATTTTTGAATAACAATAATGTAATATAAAAAAATAGAAGATAAAATTCCTATTTAATATGGCTAAAATTGAAAAGGCCTCTATGTTCCGGTGCGAACGTCCTTTGACAGGGACAGAGAACTTGTCTCTGTTTCTTCTACGCATTTAGATATAAAGTGTGGATTCAGAGAATAATTAATGAAATGACCATATATGCTTGTTTTGTCCACAACCCATTTTGATTCAGGGTTGCATGATCCAACATATGCCATGTGAGCTATAAGCCATTTCGCTGGAAGTAATCAATTAGAGAATACCAAAGACAATATGGATTTCGCATCTATTGTGTCAAGTAGTGGAGATCTTTGTGTTTCAAGGAGCCGGCCCACTACGGGAAAAACGGCCACTCCCTACATTTGTTCTTTTTTTTTTTTGCGTTTCCGCAAACGTCAGTACACTATTTATGGTGTTTACCAGCTATGCTTAGATTGTGTTTTGTATCTAGTAAACGAAAATAGTTGGTTTTTTTTTCTTTTTTTTTTTGACATTTACATCTAAAAAGCTAGAAATTAATTGAAAAAAAAAGGGTGCGACTGAAAAGGTGCCAAATGTGAAAAAAGAACCAAAACTATTTTTTTTTTCTTTTAAAAGGCAGCTAAGCAACGAACTAGAAATTTACCGTCGAGTTTTGAAATGCATTTTCCCCAAACATTTTCATTTTCTCTTTTCTATTCTCATTTCTTCTAAAAATTTCTCCATTTAGTCTCTCAATCTCATTTCCAATTTCAATAATTCCCATTTTTTGTTTTCCTTCAGCTCAATTTTGATTATTCTTTAGCTCATTTTTTATTATCCTTTAGCTCGATTCTCCAAATGTTCGGTTAAAGGTTCTCCTTATTTTCCTTTTCAATTGAAGGTGTAATTTTTGTTGCAATTCTTTATTGAAAATTTCAGGTTTCTAATTTTATGTGCAATTGAATGTAGTTTTTTCTTTTATTGGGAGTCTGTGTCAACGATAGCAAATGATGAGGGATTCTTTTCATAGTTTTTCTATTATAAAGTAGATTTTTCAATTTTCTTTAGGTATGATCTTTGATCTGATCTACATCAGATCTTTCTTTCTGTAGAATTTTATTACAATTTCATTGTGTTTATGTGCTTATTAGCTTGCATTAATTTTGCTTGTTTTGATTTTTTTAATAACTAGTCTTTTGGTTCTTTTAATAACTTTTTTATTTTTTTTTGACCAGGTAGATGGTTAGGAAGTTAGTAGAGTTAGTTTGTTAGCGGCTGGAATTTTTCCAGGAAAGTAAATGTTCCACCCCCTCATTTGAGGCGCGCGACCATTAGGTCGCAAGTTGGTGGAGTTCACGGCGGTGGCAGAGCTCGAAGCCCTAACCTCCGCCTCACCCAAACCCTAAAACTTGGGAGCTAACCAATTAGGCCACAGGCTCGGTTGGCGGTTCTTTTAATAACTAATCTTTTAACTAGTGGAAAAATAAAGGATTATTTTTACTGCAGTATTTTTTGGTTGTTTTTGAGAATAAATGTTTGTTTTTGTTTGATTAGTGAAATTTTAATAGTTAGAATTTTAACTTTTATTATATAAAAAATTGATATATGATATTAGTAACTTGCAAACATATTAATTTTTTTTATTATTCTATACAAAAAAATGTTTTAAATTTCTGTCATAAAATTTAGATAATATTTTAGTCATGATTTAAAATGAGACGTAAATATTCAAGAATTTATTTAATTTGTGTCTTTAGAATACAGATTAATAAATATCTCTTTTTGCAATTAATTTACATTAAAATTTGTAGAAGTTGATATATATTTTAA